CTTTCTTCTAAAATTTCGTGGATGGTTTCATCTCATCGTACCCTGCAATTTTTTTTATTTTCGAAAATTCTCGGAAAAATGGGTCATTTTCAATATGGAGATTTTTGAAATTTGTCTATTTCATGAGGTACTAAAAAGCCATTAGGGTAGGGGTTTAGGGGAGAAATTATTAGAAGCTAGCTTATCTTGGTGATTTTAAAAAGCTTCGAATTTCAACAATGTATCTGTTTTTGTCCCTGTTTCTAGGGTTTATATATTTATATTTATATATATATATATATATATATATATATATATATATATATATATATATATATATATATATTAGACTTAATTACTTCTAAGAATAACTTATTAAAATTGTGGGGCTTTTCTAGTTTATAAATATTTTTAGCTTCATTATAAGAGACTTCCATAGTAAACTGAATGGTTCAAATTTCTTTATTCGTCTCGTAAAAAGGCCATCTTTTTCCCAAACTATTGTGTTTTTGACCACAGTTGGTACATAGGGGGTCTTTAGTGTATTTCACATCCGTATATTTTTGATCGCCCTTCTGAGAACAGATAATTTTGCGGTTTGTGCATTTTATTGGATGGTGGGAAAAACTGAGACACCTAAGGCACCTAATCGGATTTGGAATATACATTTGGACCCTAATGTTCTGATTCTATTTTCTCTGAACCTATTTTAAGACTTTCTGATGGTAATGGAGACGGGAAAGTTACAAATAATAAATTTGTGAATTTTTCGTCACCATTTATTCAATGAATATCCATAACTTTTCAATTTAGCTCCTGTATAATTTCATTTTTTTTCCCTAAGTATTGTATGTATTTTATGCGGACTATTTTTTGAATAGTTGATAACAGCTGGGTAATCCTAGGAGCTCCGTAAACAATTTCAGTCTGCAAATTCTACTATCTAACTGCTGCTGCTTAAAAGTCTCCGAAATGTTACCTAACTTCTTTTTTAAATACTTTAAATCTCATATTTTGTTGATGTCACACTCACGTAATTGGAGACGTAATTATTAATCTAAAAACAAAGTGAGTTCACTGTTAGCCATTTTCTGCTATATAAATTTATCTTGAGAGATGGCTGAGATTTGAATCCAGATATTATTATAGCCTGATGTATAGCCTTTGGGGTGAGTTAATGCGACCCGCCTAAGTTGACGGGGCAGTCTATTACCGGGAGGGCAATTTGCCGAGGTCATATAGCAGCTTCCCAGGATTTATCGGCTGGAGCCTGCCAAATTACACGATTTTAGTGGAACCTACCATGGTCATCTCACCAGTTTTTTTCAATACCCTCGTGTTTGGCGCTCCCTTGTTCGAAAAAAACCCTCAATGTTTTTCTTCATACGTTTATACCGACTATGTCTAAATACTGTTTTAATAATATAAGAGTTGAGAAAAGATTAATAATCCATAAGCATAGGAGTATGACCTAATTTTCAACTTGGTTTATTTATTCAATGTTCCTTCTTCTGTTTCTCCACCGATTATAAGTTTTTATAGATAAATGAATACAGAGTGATTTGGGAGGAACGGGCTTTCATACACATTTTAACATTTCGGTATTGGCGTTATGATTCTGTTTGCAACAGATCGTATACAAGTTACAATCATATTAGAATTAATTGACCCTTTCATTTTAGAGAATCACTTTACAGGAGACTACTAATTAGATTTTTAATCATTTTAATTAAAAGGACTATTAGAGCATGTTCCTCTAAACATCAGAATGCAAATGCACCTTCAGCACGACGGAGTTCCCGCTCATTTCTATTGATAGGCGACATTAGGATGAAAGGTTTCTCCCCAAGAATACCAGACCTCACAGTACTGAATTACTGTTTATGGGTCTGGTTCAGAGATGAAGTACTAGATATGAGATCACACTCCCTCAATTCCTCTATTAATATTGCTACGTTTTGGGGGATTGAAATTTATCGGGATGCCACTTGATAATTATTATTATAGTTACCCAGAAATGTTTAATAAAAATTAATAATAAAAAATTAGTAAAATAAATTTTGGTCTACAATATATTTGGCCCATGATCATAATTAATTGAATTTCTTTTCCCAAAGGCTGGTTTGCGTTTATCATTCTTTCTCATTACCAGCATTACCTGTGATCATCATGATATAAATAGGTGGCAGAATTAATATAACTTTTACTAAAGACTTAATTTATTTCTGTGTTCGATAAAGAATATATACAAATTATTTTAGAAATTTTATTGTGCAAATACTATATACAATAAACTAAATAAAAAATATGATTTGATAATGACTGTGCAGGTATGATTTCAGATGGACTGTTTTGAGAAATATTTTAACATTATGGTTGGAAATTACAACTTAGCTATTGTGGTATGTGAAGTGGTGTTGGTAGTAGATTTCATCACTGCATCTGCTGATCCGAGATCTTCTCGTCATGGTTCAAAGCTCTGTCAGGATCTTCATGGTCTATGTAGGGCCAAGGCTTCAGTCCTCAAGCCGGAAGAAAACATAAGACCCACCCTCAAGGCCGGAACTCAACATAAGACCTATCCTCAAGGCCGGACATCCACATAAGACCTATTTTCTTCCTTCTCGGTAGATTTTATAGAAATATTCAGGGTGGGACAAGAATGGTTTCCATTGGTTCTTAACTTCACCCTATTACTCCACAATAACTGGTAACACCCTAAAAGGAACCAGTTACTTAGCCCGTTACTAGTTTTTACTCTAAGCCTTCCCCGGGTCCAGGTACAGGTCGGTCCTTATCTACCTATTTTCTACCCTTGACGCTGTTTTTGATGTCAGAAGTAGGTTTCATTCAACTTGTCATAATAATTTTAAATACTTATTTCCTATGTTCAATACATATCAATATGAATTTGCTTAAATCGGGATATTTAGATATTATTTGTGCAAAGATAAGGAATTTTGTAAGAAGTAAATATTCAGATTATTCAACTGCCCTAAATTACGATAAACCTACTGAATGTCTACAGTTTTTTAAACCCTAATTTGACAAGTTAGATTGTGAGATAGTACATGGGCCCGTTAGGAATTTTATCTCAGGAAATATTGATTCATAATGATATTTATAACGACTATGATAACTCAAAATCGCTACATTGTGAAAAATTGATAAAATTAAAAAAAGTAAAATAACTAGAAAAAAAATAAAGAAGAAAAGACAAGCCATGGATTTTAGAAGCACCTTTCAAAGAGAGCAATCTAGAAAATAATTTAAGTTGAGAATAATGTTATTAGAATAACTCAATTAAAATTCTCCTCCCAGCTACCAACCTTTTGATCTAATGTTCATTAGTAGAGTAATTTTCATCCTCAGTAGAAGAAAGCCCCTCTTGTCAGATATTTCCATATTGGAAGAAAAATTATTTCCCTCCCCCTCCCCTCTTTCTCTCTCTGGCCCCCAACAGTATCTCCCTAATCCCATTTTAGTTGTCTCGTACCTCTTCAGACATTTTTCTTCCGTTCAGTGACAATGAAAAATTATACTTTAATATTATATTATCTAATATTATAAATTGAAATAAAATACAATAAATTTGTATATATTACAAATACTGATGAATGAGATATAACTGGCAGTATACAAAATCTAGGAAATGGCACCGTATGGGATCAGAAATGAAGTGGGCAGCAAGACACTATAGGTACTACAACCTAACTTAAGGGAAGTAGGTGACATTGTTAACATCTGTACCAAACATGGAGACAGAAGAAAAGATAATTAAAATTGTTTCAACCAATGAAGTAAATATAATTAATACCAATGTAGTCCTTACATTGACAATATATTGACGAAATTCTATATTGATTCAATAATATTGGCGGTGTAAGAGACCTTTAAAACTTGAAGCTTTATGACCATCGACCATATTCTCGTACCAGATTTATATAGTTGTTTACGGTTTCGATGCAGAATTGAATGTTGTTTCCTTCTTGAACTAAAGATATTTTTCCTAGTAAGAATCGTTTTGAAAAAATAAATCAATAGCTGGATATATTGCATTTCGTGGAATTTAAATATTCACTTAAAAAGTTTTATTTATTTATTTATTCAGTAATATAACAATCTATCCCCCGGACAATAATTACAGCGAGGTAAAAACACATTCACACCATAATATAGAAAACATAAAATAAACAGAACCAAACCAACAACTAAATAATAACCAAAAAGTATATTAAATAAATTAAAATAAAATAACATAGAGATAAGTACATAAAAAACAGACGTACCTATATTATATAGGTAGAGAGAAATACTTTATTGAAAGTAATGCTGCCCTACTTACTACATAGGGTTGCTTTGTACACAGCATACTGATCAATCCATATGGACATAGCTCTTGTATCATATTATTCCATTATTATATAAACATATAATTTTTTTTTATCCCTTTTCACAACACTAGTCCATATAACATATCATTAACAATGCCACATTAAACAATTACCATTATACAATACATATATTTTATGGAAAAAAAAAAAAAAAAAAAAGTAATCGAATGCTAGAAATACAAGACTAAATCGCAAACATATATCAACACAATTTCTTGAATATGAACAAAAAGATAAGACAAAGTTAAAAAATAATATGTTATATTATATTTAATTTTTTAAGTAATTGTATAAAGGCTATATAAAACAACTTTAAAAAGTAAATATATAATTTTAAAAAAGAAAAATGCTAAAATTTTCCGAACAGAATTTATTATTATTATATACATTAAATTTGACTTAATAGGTTTTCTGACAGTTGGAGAGTGGAAACACTATTTCGTGAGTTTTCCCACACTTTTCAGAAAAAAAAATTCTCTTATCAATATTTATTTTAACTTCATAGATTGAAATATATAATTCAATCACACAAATCTCACGGGTCATTCTATTGAATCATTATTTTTATTAATTAATACGTAATACTACAGGCGATGAATATAAAATAACTATTTATAGTTGAAGGACATGCGGAAGGTTAGAACGAAACTTGCATCTAATGCATACTGTTGCAACACAGGCAATCCTTGGCTGCACTCACAAGTGAACATGCACCGTGCATCGCCCAACCAAGCGGGCCATACATCCGTAATTTGTGCTGTTACGGTCCACAACCGTTTAGGTATGTTGCCGTGTTATGTTCCTAAAACATAAGTAATTGAAGAATAAGTTTTTTCTAATGGTATAAAATAAAATAATTTAAAAAAATAAAAATATTCATATATTTTTAATTAATACATAGATTCAAAGGATGGTTAATAAGGTGATATATATATATATATATATATATATATATATATATATATATATATATATATATATATATGTATATGTATACATATATTTTATTGGATGTTAGTAAAATCTATCATAGGTACTTATTTAACTTTTGAATATAATTGTAATTCTTTAATTTTTGATTCATTTTCTTTTGTTGTCGTTACTCATTTATTATATCTGTTCCCTGCAGGTAAAGAACGCCATGTCCATGTTGTATTTGCACAGGGTAGCACATCCATAACATGAGCAATTAAAATTTATTTGTTAGTTAATATATGTGTACTCTGAAGATAAATGACACCATTCCACTTTTTTGTATTTGTTCAGAAAGCCAATTTTCCATATCTTTGAGCTATTAAACTTTTTTTCTTAGTTACTAAATCATTTAATTATAAATGGATATAGTGTACTTTACCTCCGGAGCACAAATACTTATACAAACAAAACACACACACACACAGATATATATAATATGATATGAATGTTTCACATATAACTCAAATACTTACTGTCTCAAGTGTAACAGGATGTATTATTACTCAAAAAAAAAAAGATAACAATAATTAATAAAAAAAAGTTTAAATATTTTCATTTTATGTACATTGATGTTTAAAGCCTTTGAAATTTAACTAAAGTATTCGTTTTAATGATATTTAGAAAAATACAGTTATTCCAAGTAAGTATTTTTCAAGCGATTTCATCTTCAAATGAAATAAAACATGTTTTGGTATATGCCTGGTATGAAATGTCTTCACCATATCTAAAACATTCTTATAAAATCATTATTTGGAGATTATTAAAATAATTATTTTAAAAACTTTTGTAATACGATTATGCTAAACATAATGTCTAGAACATTTATATACTGTATATAATAGAAAAATCATCTTTATTCTGGGACTAGGTCCCTTTAGAATAACAGTATTGTTCATATATATTAACCATAAATAAATAATATATAAAAGGTGTACCGTTCCTATTGTTGCTCAAAATCGGTCTTGGTCTTGCACTTTCCGAGACCAAGACCGTCAGACTGTTGCAAGACCAAAACCATGACTGGTCAAAAAAATCGTTTTTGTGAATAAAAATTATGACAAAATAGTTACTAATACTTGACAATTTTACTTACTATATGCAGTAGTGCCCATCTCCTCCAAGGCCCATCTTTTATTCCTCTCTTATTCTTAAAAACATTGCAAATGAAAGTAGAATTTAAATATTCATAGATTATATACAATGACACATAATGCAGTCTGTTCCATGCTTCCACTTGTCTTTTAATTTGAAACTTTTCATTTTGAAAATTCATAGCCCCGTCGAAATGTGCCCCCTCAAAAATTCAAAACCCAGTCAAAGAGAGCCCCCCTCATAAATTTTTATTAAAACACCCTTCTGGGCACCTCTGATCCCTATATGTAAATAATTGGTACAACCTATATACTTTTGCATTTAACTCTTCCAATTTTTCATTCTGCCTTAGTTACGTTTTCCCTACCTGAAAGTTTACAGTAATATGTCTATAGTAATAGGCTAATAAGTACTGCAAGACTGTTGCGAGAATCTTGCTCAAGACCAAGACCAAGACCAATACTGAGTGGCTAAGACCAAGACTTGTCTTGGTTAACAATACCGTTAGTAAATGGGAATATTTAAAGAGTTGATAGAATGCCTGAAAAGCTACAAAAAAAAAAAAAGTTCTAATTTTTAGTCTAATTTTTAATAAACAGTCTAATTTTTCGCAGAAAGCTGAAAATCTAAATTCAGGTGTTTTTAGGTAATTCATCACTATTATTATTAAATAAAACCCCACTTATAGAAGAAAATACCTTTTTAATAAGTTTTATGTATTAATTAATATTAATTGAGTTGATTTTTGTTACCGAATAAGTTGAGATTCACCTCTAGTTGTATAAAAGAAATATGTAATTTGATATTCTATTGGACACTTAATACAGTAAAGATCAATTCCTAAAATAGAGGATTGCGTAAGAAACACTGGTTCATTCATATGATCAAATTATGAAAAAACGATATTTTTTTTGTATATAAAAATGTATTGGCCTGATTAATTTATTACAATACACCACAGATTACAGAAAAAAAAATAAAGATATATAATAATGTATTGTAGTAATTTTTGCTGAAACCACAGGTACTCAGTGATAAAGGATAACTTTTTTTACAGAGCTAGAGGTGACCATGCAAAAGCATGGTATCTGTTGCCTCAGTGGCTTTAACAAAGACATATTCTATATGTATTAGTTGACATTTTGTCTAGCCTATTATGAAGCAATTCTTTATTACATATATATTATATATTTTTTAATTATCACTTCCTATTCAACAAAAAATGTGACCTACTTTTAAAAAAAACCCAAATTTATATACTAACTAAATAATAAAAACTAACATGAATTTTTCCAGCTTTTCTGCAGAATATCGAACCATGGTTGATAAAAACCTTTTTTGTAGCTTAAGTTCTACTTTAACTTTTATAAATATTTCCCTTTACTTACGGGACACCCTATACGCATAAAGGAAATCCTTATTTTTTTGTAAAAAAAAGTTATTTCATTTCTTGAAAACGACAGAAACGTTTAACAGAAATAAAATAAAACATTAAGAAACATCAGTAACCCTATTTAAAATTTATCAACTTTCCAATTAGATTTGTATCATATATTTTTTTTTTATTTCTTAATGATATTTACAACTGCAATAATAAAATACATTTAGTATATTTGAACATGTGGATATAATGCAGTGAAAACACTCGGGAAACTACCCAATGGTAGCACTCTAATAATATGTGTTAAAAAGGCGTAAGGTTATTAATTTATTTAATTGTTATTTATTAATTTATAAAACATCGATAAATAAATAAAAATCTTTATATCATGACATACTACTGCTTTCGAGTTATCTTTGTGCATTTATTACACTTCTATATTTATTTTAATGTCATAAGGCGACAGAAATGCTTTACGACTTTTTTTTTTTTTATTCGTTTACTACGCCGGGTTTTAATCATTTCTTTGATAAGAGTTTTTACATTTTTATGAGAGTGCAGTTACGGAATTTTTCTTCTATTATGTCATAATTTACTTAATAGGAGAGCACGTTTCGAAAAACAAATTATAATCAATTATAGATTAGTGAAATACGATCAAGTACAGCAAATATTTACTTAACGTTATGTCCAGGAAATATTATTTTTTAAGTCGATTTCGTTAATTTGTATCTAGAACGGTGAGCATATTTATCTAAAGTAATTAGTATAATTATTACCAGTAATCGAAGTTATTCTTATTAAGTTTGATAATTGGTAAACAATGCTATTAATAAAAATATTTTGTCAAAGATATCAAGTTATTATGAAATGTGCCTTTACGGGCTATATGAAAAATTTGAAAACAGAATCATTTATTTAATTATAAATTAGCTAAATAAAAAAAATAAAAAGATGAAAAACTGTTGTTGATATGTTCGTAATTTCAAATTAATTATCTAATAAAGACATAGCCATGTTAGGAAACGCTTTTATTTGATAAGTCTGTGTGCATAAAAAAAATTACAATAATATACTTTACAATGATTTTACCAAGTTATTATTAAACAAAAGGCATTGCAGACATAGCAGATCTTTTGTCAGCCTTAAATAGCCTCCTCCATCTCTTTCTTGGGATATTTATTTCCAATATTTAGCATGCAGTTTTGCAGTATGTTTGTTGATTCGATCTACCCATCTGGTCTTCGACCATCCACATAGTCTCTTGCCTACTATTGAGGCATTCATTGTTGTGTGGAGGCTATCAGATGAATTTATCCGAGCTACATGTTCCGCTTATCTTAATCTCCTCGCTTTCATATCATGAAGTATTGATTGACCAGTTTCTGTAAGAGGATCTTTCTCTCAAATCCTTCAATAAGTCTTTCAAGAGTGCTGTTAGTGTCCAGGTCACGCAGCAGTAAGTACAATAAGGATGACAAAATATTAAAACATATAAATATTAATAATAAAATAAACACTATTAATTTATTAAAAAATGGCATTTAAACATATTTTATCACTAATTATCATCCACGTTGGATTGATGTACTGGTAGTGTTGCCCAAATGCGAGACTGAGACGAGTCTTGGTCATGCAAACTCAGTTTAGGTCATGGTCTTACTCTTGCGCTAGAGTCTCGCAACAATCTTGCAGTTATTTATTAGCTTATTACCGATTGAAAAATTAGAGTTAAATGCAAAAGCATATTGGTTATACCAGTTATTAACATATAGTAAAATAAATATTGACTGATATAGGCCTGAATCGAACCCAAAACGTTCATAACCGAGCACTCAGGGACTCTCGCCTTGATGTGCTCGGTAATCACGATTTGATTGATTTTTTTAAATTTAATAATTTAATTTAATTGATTAATAGCCAATTTATTTAATTCAATTTTTTTTCAAAAGTTAATGGATCAGATCAATCGATTGCTGTCGCCCAGGGATCTTTTTTAATACAATTTTAAACAAAATCCGTTTGCTCGATTTCCAGATCTAAACAGAAATTGCTGGTGTCGGAATACAGGATTTAACCATGTCTAGAATTGTAGTTCATTGCTAATCACAATTAATAAGTAATGTTATCAAATCAATTTGATTATATGTAGGTATTATATGTGTTGCTTGTCTTTATGAATAAACACACGAGCCTCTTACAAGGTTACTGTAAATAGGAAAAATAAAAGTGATAAGGAAACAAATAATTTCATAAGGGTGTAAACATTTTTTTCTTTTCACTTTAAACAAGTACTACTATCATTACATTAATTTATATACTTTTTAAAAATT